AGTGTGGTTGCTCGTTCTAGTGCTGAAAGCAGAATATAGAGTAATGACACAAGAGGTATGTGAAATTATTATGAGTGCAAAAACTAATGAAAGAATTAAAATTGTTTAAAGAAGAAATTTTATCATTGTTTTGTGACAATAAAACAGTTATTAATATTGCTCAAAATCCAATTCAATATGATCGGACAAAATATATTGAGGTTGACCGTCACTTCATAAAAGAAAAAGTAGTTGATGATTCCTTGTGCTTACATTATGTGTCTTCTAGCAATCAGGTAGTAGATATCTTCATTAAAGGACTCTGCAACAAAACTCTTCAAAACTTGATATGCAAGTTGGGCACGTGTGATATCTTTGTACCAACTTGAGGGGGAGTGTTGACACAAATATTTTGTTACCTAAATGACCGTGATATTTTTCCTTATATAATCCTACTATTTGTTTTCTCCATAATGATGTAATTTTTTAGAATTTTATTATAAGGAAAATTTTCCTATTTGTATTTAAGAAATCCTGTATATATACGAGTCAATTGTAACACTTAATAGTAAAGAAAAATAAAGTGCAAATATTTAAATTTCTACAGATGCAATACAGGAAACATAATTTTAAAAAGACCAAACAAAGGATGACCAAGACGAAGATGATAAAGCTAGATTTTGTCCTTTTTTAGATAGTGTTACTGAAAGAAATAAAGAGGCAACTTGGTTTTTGGATTGCATATTTAATTAACAACTCAAGGTAATGGAGTCCATCTTGCTGCCTAGCATGTCTATTCATCCTTTTCGTATCTAGGTCTTGAATCTCACAAAAGGAAGACTGAAAAAAATCTCAACAATTCAAATATTTAGTGAGACAAATTTGTAGAAAGCTTAGGCACATGTGAAACATTTAGTAGGACCAAAGAATTTCTTGAGCAAATAACTCCACGTCCAATGTAGAAAAACATGTCTTTAATTAGGAAACTGTGTGCTATGATATAGGAGATTTAATGGTGATTGTATTCCTTGATTTTAGGGGATATGTTTTATCCTCATCCTGGGATTAGGATAGTATTAGGATATCTCTTGATTTAGTTCTTGTTTATCACTTATCCTTATCCTATGTATGTGTGTGTATATATATATAAAGAATCTTAGGCATCTATACTGTGACAACATGTCGGTCGTAAGTATTGCTCACAATCCGATGGAACACGATTGGATCAAATACATTAAGATCGGCATACATTTTATCAAATAAAAACTTGTTAGCGGCCTAATATGTACTCGATACTTACCTATCAATTCTTAATTGGTAGATGTCTTAACTAAAAGTGTAAGCAATCTAATATTTCAAACATTTATTGGCAAGTTGAGAATGAACAACATTTACTTCTCAGCTTGAGAGAGTGTTAAAAAGAGAATAAATTAGGTTAAAAAGTATAAAAGTAAATTACACTATTTTTAATTAATTGTAATTAATTACTTATTTCATTTTTCATCCTGAAAATGTATATATAGGGATGTGATATTCAATATAATATATATCAAAATCATTCTTAATAATTTATATATACTAAAATGAATATGTAAGATTTTACTAAAATTTTTAAATTATAATATTTATATATCGTAAATATTATATATGAAAGTATATCTAATACATTAATGTATAAAAAAATATATTTGCAAGCTTTTGAATAAAATATTTTGGAGTTTGAGTTTGGCTGGGTAATCAAAAAGGTTTTCTTTTTAGGCTTGAATTTGGCTCAAATTCAATTTTGGCCGAACTTGAACGAGGTCTAACCAACCAGAATCCGAACTACCGAGGGGATGTTTGTTTCATTGCCACTGCTAGCAGCCATGATTTTTTAACCTTCTAAGAACCAAAACTAGTTAAGGGTACTCCTACTTCAATTTGGCTTGTCTATGAAAACCAGTAACAAAAAAATCCTGAAGCTGTTTTATGTAAGAAAATCCCAAAATTTGCAACCACATAAACGTCTAAACATATCCATAATCTTTATTTTGCTGGATCATGAGCTATCTGTGAATGGTTTGGATCATATGAGCTGTACCTGTGTATGTTGTGTAAATTTAACTGCAGCGTACTGCTTTTTTTGTGCCTAATGTTGCCGACTTCTTGTTTGTGAAAAAAATGGTCATTTTATTTTTGGAATGTTTTGTAATATAATTATTAGAGTTGTTGAGGCTATGATTTTCATTTTGGTTTCCTGCAGTTTGCATTTGCACTTAAGTTATTTCAAGTGCAAAAGATATTTAGTAATATAAACATCTTAAAATGATGATTTTCTTCTTACAGATGGCAGCAACTTCTCATAAACAGATTTGTTGGTTATGATACCATATTGATGAATAGTTTACTCACTTCTCCCGGTCAAGGTAATTCACTACTTCATATCTGGATAAATTGAACATATATGGACATTTCTTCTATCTTTGATGCACAAGCTTGTGGGTTTCTTTGAACATTACTACAGTCCATGGCTTTGTTTTGAAATTTATGAAGGGAACTTACATGTGAATATCCTTGATGCCTTGATGTAGAACAGATTTAGAAGCCTATATGCAATTACAGTGACATAGGGTTCAAGTGAAATGGAGATTTAAGGCTTAAAAGCATAAAAGAAGTGATTTGGGCCTTTGGATTTTCAGTTAGAAAGGCTAAAACAATACAGGAACTATTATAAAAATGGAAAAAGAATTTGGTTAGGGTGTTGCTTTTGGCATCTTTATGGGCTAAGGCAGGCTTTTAAAAAATATATGATAATCTTTAAAAAATATATATAACTGTTAAACAAAGTGCCCGCAACCAGACAAAGTAGGATGATTACAGCTTAATATTTTGCTGAACTAAGTGGTTTATGGTACGAACTAGACATTATCAAGACTTTCAAACAGCCTGTTCACTAGATGTTCAGCAAGAGGAGAATGGCCAAATTCAGGCTCAGGTTCTTCGTTGAGATCCATTACTATCGCTATGACAGACCTACTCTTATGTTCAGCAAGAGGAGAATCTTAGAAGCATCATGATCCATCTAACAGGTATAGGCAAGGCAGGATTTGTTGCTGGCATCACCTAAGAGTAGTAATCAAAGAATGTTTGACCAAAGATCACCTTCCTTGTGATTACTATGGCAAAATGTAACATACTAGAGAGAGTTGTTGGAAGTTCAATCCCAACCAAATAAAGGTCATTAATGTAAGCGAAATCACCCTACATTGTTGCAAGTTACCATGTTCATTGTCTACGTTGATAATATAGTAATGACATGGGATGATATAGAGGAAGTGACAAAATTAAAAGGGTCTCTAGCTTGGGAATTTGAGGATCAAAGATTTAGGAAAACAACATGATATAGGACAGTAATATTCTAGAGTGAACATATCTCAATAATAGAATATATTTATGTAATTATATTGTTTACATATTAAGGTAGTTAGTTTATTTAGGAACTAGTATTTACAGGCTTATTACTTGTGTAAGTTTATTATTTTCTACTTAGTTTAGATCTTAGTTAGCTATTCTCTATTGTAGGATATTTAAGTTAATTAGTTTATTTTCTTATTTTATAGAATTCCTAGGTAGACTTAAGAATTCCTTTTTTGATTGCATAATGGTGCCTATACGATATTATACAAATATTCAGTTATTGATTTGACTATTGAGATTCTATATCTCCAATTTTGGTTCCTAATATATTTATCCTTAATTGTTGCGCTCAAACTCTCTTTGTCCTATATTAATACGATGTTTTCGGGTTATCAAAATGGCTATATAAAAAGAATAATGCTTTTATTTCTTAACAAAAATATATTCTAGATCTTTTGAAAAATACTACTATCTTGAGTCATAATTGGTTGACTCTCCTACTGAAAATAATCAGAAGCTACATTGTGATGTTGGTAAACCAGTTGAAGTTGGGAGGTGTAAAGACTAGTTGGAAGACTAATTAACCTATCACATATTAGGCCTGATTTTTTTTTTTTTGAAATAAAAAGTGTAATGTATGTATTATTAGGTACCAAAAACTGAGGGTACTGCCTATGTACAAAAATATTTACAGCGAACTTAGCATGTTAGTGACAATCCTAAAATGCACATCATTATTAATATCATGACTTAATAATACTGACTCAAAAGTATGTAACCACCTATTTTTTAATCTATTTAAACTACTTTGAATGTTATCAAAAGCTCTTCTATTTCTCTCTTTTCAATTCTGATAGTTAATAGGATAATGTTAACAAAGCTTCTTTTTACATGTAGACCCTCCCAAGCCTAAACTTCCTCCCTAACCGAACCCACAATCACCCAATCAATCCCAAGAAGTCCGTAAATTATACATCATAAATTATAAGTTGTTGGACACTCCAATAACAGATGGTTGCACGTTTCCTCAGCCACAAGACAACAATAGCAGCCATTAACAAAGACTCGTCCTTTGGATTTCAACCTGTCAATGGTTAGAATTCTATTCCAACATGCTTCCCAAGCACAAAAAGCCATGCGGAGGGACACTTTCGTCTTCCAAATGATATTTGTAGGGAAGACAATCCTATCAGCAACACAATTCTTACACAGGTACTGATAATAAGAGGAGACAGAAAAAATGCCATTTTTGCCAATTTGCAAACAATCTGATCATCAACCTGTGAAACTCTTTGAGAATCTAACAGCTGTAGCAAATCTTCAAATTCATCCACCTCCCAATCATTTAAGTTTTTCTTTAAATAAATAGACCACACAGTTATACCATTACACACTTGGTACGCATTCTCCACATTCATATCACTATTTTTTGAAAGGTTGTATATCCTGGGAAATCTACTCCTTAAGCTCCCTTCACCTGCCCAATCATCCTCCCAAAAATTAATTAGATTGCCTCTACTAACCTTCCGTTGAATGCATTGTCAGAATGAATGCCATTGCATCACAATTTTTTGCCAAAGACCTCACCCATGAGGAATAGGAATTTTGAGTTTCTTGCTGTTCACCATATACTCTCCCCATCTAGCAACAATGATCCGTCGCTAAAGGTTATTCTTTTCATCCAAATACCTCCACAGCCATTTGCCTTGAAGAGCTTCATTTAATTTAACCAAAGATCGGATACCCAAACATCCCAAAAGTTAGTGGGCCTTTTATAGAAATATTGTAAAATCAGTCTCTCCCCATCTTTTTACCATTTTTCCCTTTCTTCTATTATTCTCCTTTTTTGTCTTTTTGTGCAAGTGTCGAGTATGGCAGCTGGGGATGCCCTCTGCCATTTTACGTTTATTCTTTCTGTTGAGGAAGGTTGTTATTTTTGTTTTATTCTCCTCCATCTGCCTATATAATGGCAACCCGATGAATGAAAAAAATAAGAGGAAATTTTGAGAATTTTTCCATTCTCAAAAATTTCATGGTATCAGAGCATACATGATCTGAAATCATTATCCTGTTTACGTAAAATGGCCACGGATGAGCGGACCTCCTCTCCTCCCGAAGTTCTTTCGAGATCTTACCTTCCTGTGGCGGTAAACCACACCCTGGTTGATCAGACTTCTTTGTTCGTCATTGGGCACAGATTAAATAGAAGTAATTATCTCCAATGGTCATCGTCTATATTGATGATCATCCGGGAAAAAGACAGAGACGAATACCTCACCGGAGAACTCTCAGCATCTTCTGCCAACGACCCAAGTGCTCGTTCATGGAAGGTTGAGAATAGCCTCGTCATGTCCTGGCTGGTGAATTCCATGACCACCGAGATTGGAGAGAACTTCCTGCTGTATGAGACAGCACAGGGCATCTGGGAAGCTGCTCGTGAATTCTACTCTAGCCACGACGACACGTCTGCCACCTTCGAGCTAAAAACTCATCTCCACGACCTGCGACAGGGAGAGTTGACAGTGACTTAGTACTACAACACCCTTTCCTGGAACTGGCAACAGCTCAATGCCTTCGAAGAACGTCAATGGAGTTGCCCCGAAGATGCCCAACTGTTTAAGATCATCACCGAACAAAAGCGCATCTTCAAATTCTTAAGGAGTTTGAATAAGAATTTGGACGAAGTGCGCGGTCGTGTTCTGGACACCAAGCTGCTGCCGAGCATTCGAGAGGTGTTCTCCGAAGTTTGCCGTGAAGAAAGCAGGAAGAAGGTCACGTTGGGAGAAGCTCACTTTGGCCCGACAGAGATTGTGTAAGCTCTCACGGCTCGGAAGAAAGTAGTAATAGGTGAGCCCCAGTTTGGCGCGCACCAAGGTAAGATCGCAGCTGCTCTATCAACTCGGATGACTGATTTTCAAGGGAGGAAAGGAAGACCTTGATGCAAATTTTGCAGAAAACCAGATCACTACCGTGAGAAATGCTGGAAGTTCCATGGAAAATTAAACAACAAAAAGACCTCAAGACTAGAACCACAGTGGGGCACCCTTGTGATGACAGAGGACTCACCTATCGCTACCACAGAAGCTTCTCCTTTCACCCCCGAGCAGACGAAGCCGTCCCCGAAACGTTTTTCTCAAAAGACCTTAGGTAATGCCTCCAATGCACATAAAGATACAAATTTGATTAGTTTTTCAGCTTATTCCACAAAAGGGAAAAT